TCATCCTTATTATTGTTATTATAATTATCATCATCATATTATCATTTATATAGTTATTGTTATTGTTACTATTATTATTATTAAGGTTATCATTACTATCATTATTTCTATTTTTTTAAACCTCTGTTTGGTTTGGTTGGTTCTGACGTGACGTGTCTACTTTCTACACCTTGCTGGGCCTTAAGGAGCGGAGTTCTCACTTGGAAAATTATAGTATCATCATAAATGTGAGTGTATTGTCACCAACGTGGAGAAAAAGACAAAGGTTGCAATATCCTGTCTTGTATTTTGCACAAGAGATGGTAAACTTCAGCTTGAGTAAGGTCTACTATTTTGAATGCAGAAACTCACCCACTTATTTCAAAGGCAACTCTCTCGCAGAGTCTTTTGAACAAACGATGAGACAAGTGATAAATTAATTCATTTAAAAAGTAATTCAAGATAATCACCAACTGCTTCAACCTTATTATATAAAGAAAAAAATAACAACAACAAAAAAGCAACAACAAGCAAACCAATAAAGGACTATACTGCACTTTGACTTAAGCAAGAAACAAAACAACAACAAACGACAAAGATACAAACATACACCAATAGAATACGTTCCCCTCATAAAAAATGCGGCAGACAAATTTTAAAAGAGTTTTCTAACTGTTGATTCCTCGTCTGTAATATGTTTTAGACATCTTGGTAGGGGGTCTTGTGATATAAAAAGGCCAATAAACTTTACTGAGGGCGCGGGTCGGAGCTATTCTAAATAACTGTTTTCAGCTGATCTGGCGTATGGGCGGTAGCTTTTCTCAGTACATAGAGCCCTTTATGAATAGTGCGACTTCTCTCCAGGGATTCTTTGTACAGTTCTGTCGACCTGACTGCTGTCCAGAAAAATACCGCTAAACCCAAACAAAATAAAAACCCAAAACAAACAATAGTTGAAACCCGCATTAGAAGGGCATCAAACTCACAAAAAAAAGGTTTTGTATTGACATTAGACCTTTAGCACAAAAAATTGTCTACAGGATATAACAAGAGATTATTCATTTCCTAGTGAAAGACAAAAAAGACCCACTCATATCCACCCCTCGCCCCCACCTCCACCTCTCTCTCTCTCTCTCTCTCTCTCTCTCTCTCTCTCTCTCTCTCTCTCTCTCTCTCTCTCTCTCTCTCTCTTAATCCATCTCTATTCCTCTCTCCTGCGCTCTCTCTCTCTCTCTCTCTCTCTCTCTCTCTCTCTCTCTCTCTCTCTCTCTCTCTCTCATCACACACACACACACACACACACACACACACACACACACACACACACACACACACACACACACTCTCTCTCTCTCTCTCTTAATCTTTCTTTTTTCCTCTCTCCTGCGCTCTCTCTCTCTCTCTCTCTCTCTCTCTCTCTCTCTCTCTCTTTCTTTCTCTCTCTCTCGCTCTTCTCTTTCTCTCTCATTAAGTAACAAACTTTTCTCTATTGAGAGTAACAAACAAATGAATGAGAGATAGGTTCGATATATTATTGTTTTGGCAAAAAATCAAACCACACCTATCAACACCTTTATACCTATCTATCTATCTATCTATCTATCTATCTATCTATCTATCTATCTATCTATCTACTATGTAAAATCGGCCTATAAACATGTATACACACGTCAGTCCCGGAATACATTCTGTATAAAAAGAATATTTCCGTGAACTCTAAGTATGACATGTCATTATAGAATGCAAGAAAATCGTATCAGACAACTGTCCATCTTTATTAACAATCAGGCAAGCGGACTGAAACAAGCAGAGATCGGGGTTTCTATGAACTTCTTTATTTATTAGTGTCTTTCGATAACACCTCGGTGGCAATCAATAACATTAACTGGCTGATGTTACAACTAACTGAAGTCTTATACAGACTGATGAATAAATACAGCCTTTCCCCCATCGTCGCATCGGATTTCTATTTGGTTCATGACTAGACTCTCCATATCAACCTTAGCACAGGTTTACAATGACCATGTCCCAAAAAAGCATAATAACATCTAGATGAATCCACTTTTGTTAAAGCCACACCATGTAAGTGTACTGAATACTATTAATTTAATACGATTTTTCCTGCTCTGCAGCTGAGATTTGTATTTTTATAAGAATATCAGGCTTTTTTAAATGGCTGACTTTGGGTATCATAATTTCTTTTGAAATCATAAAATACTTCAGTATTTGGCACAGGTACACTCTTACTAAATTTGGTAATGAAATAAAACAGCCTTAGGGATATATTTCGTTTTGTTTATTTCCAAAGTGGCTGCCATCTCCACACCAACCGTAGAAATCAAGTACACACCACCAGGCGTAAGTAAATATATCACTATATCTAAGTCAAGTAAGTAGATACTTTCTCTCAGGTTCTTTGCACAGAAAATGGGTCTCACGGGTCGTCCATTTTCTCATAGAGTCTGTTATATTTAGGGACCTTTTGGCCTATTATATTATTAGTCTTATACTATTCTCCCCCCTCCCTCTCCCCGTTTTCCATCCTTTTAAACACTTATCCTTGAGGGTTTTTTGTTTTTTTGTTATCGATTTTTTTAAATTCTCAAAAAATACTTTACCGTGATCTAATGCGTTTAACTGGCTGTATAGAGACAGTAGAAGGAAAAAGTAAGGAGAGATGCTCCGTGATTGGGTTCATGTTTCACCATCTTGAATAGTGAGATCAGTTGAGCCATCGTGACAAGCATATTGACGTGTTTACCGCACTTGCTAGGTCGATCACCCGTTACAATAATAAATTTATCTCTAAAGACTCCCCAAAAAGCTTAAAGATTGCGCTCAATTTCGTATATATAAACTAGTCAACAAAAATTAAGGAACATTTGAGAAAAAGTGTATAACTTCGAAAGCAAACTTCAACACGCAATAAAATTTGGTACACATTTTAATCAACATGTGTATAGCAATTCCCAAAAAGGAAAATTAAGTTATTCCATTTTAACTTGCTTGAAAGGTTAATTGAGTTTGGTAGGGGTTAAAATCACAAATCCCAAAAATTGTCAAGCGGTTTCGAAGTTATTTTAACTTCTGACTGCAACAAAAACAAAACAGTTCAGATGATTTCAAT